CGATATGCATTAGGCGGTGTGCATTTTAAAAAAGTATTTTCTAGTATTGCCGATGTCCATCGGCGTCGATGATCTCGCTGCTTGTTTGCCACCTACTGTTAATTAAAAAATAGGCGTTTACTATACAAGGAGTATATACTTTGTCCGCGGTCAAAATATAGCCAAACCCAAGCCGACTGCTCGAAATAGTTATTTTTTTGACTATAATATCATCGACAATCATTTTGCCCTAAACATTGATAAATTACTTGAAGTATTATTATTCCGAGATAGTTCGTTATTATATTATAGAAACGTTAGTACGCTCTAGAAGCCTTAGATGGTCGCCAAATCGTCGTGTCGTCGGAAGTCAGCCATAAATCGATTGTGGAACTCCGGCAAGCGAAGCGATCCAATAAAATGAACGTTCTGACCACCGCAATCCGTGTTCAAATAAAAAACAGACATTTTATTGGACTTGGACATCCGAGCGCTTCGATGTTCTACTTTCCTATTCTTTAAATTGGTTTTTCAATAGACATTTTGTATTTAAGTAACCCTTAATAAAAATACAGTGGAATTGTTATCCGTCTCCGTTTTATTAAGAAAAAATTCCCCCCTCACGAAAAAATTAAATGGCGCACAGGACGCTACCGGACGAAGAATAAATTGTTCCTTTTTCCTTAAATAATTTGCATATTTACGTAGGTTTTGCGATTCTCAAGAATATGAAGCAGTTAAAGGAGTAATAATTAAATCATTATCTTAGTACTTACGTCAAAATGTTCTCTCATTTTATTTTTTATTACTTTTTTTTTTATAATTAACGTACAAAGTTTCAGAGGACTGAATAAAAGTATCTGAATCATCTTAATTCTCTTATGTAATTAAATTCAAATAGTTGTAAGGTATCAGTGATTTTATTTGACCGATAACAAATTCGTTTTATATGAAGTCACGTAAACGGGGTGTAATGCACCCTCGGTCAAATACCTAGGCACTACGTGACGTCACTGCCGACAGAAATTAATTGCATTTCATCAGTTTGAAGCACGTCTCTCACAATTCTCTTACATACGATTTCCCAGTACCTGGAATATATCACTAATGAATTTATATCAAAGGAATATATCAGACATAGTTCGACCTGAAATATGACGTACATGGGAATGTGGAATTTATAGTAAAGGGAAAATGTTGCAATATTACCACGTGAGTTTATATTACTGTGAGCTTTGGCTGCTGACACTCTGGTTAAGGAACATACAACCATCCTTCACAATCCCCTTGAAAGAAGTGTGATAACAATATATATTTGTAAGCAATTCAGTACAGAAGATTTCTTTAACGCCTCTTTTTTACGAAGTTTTGAAAGGGAGTAACAGATTTATGTAAGACTGTATAATTCGTAGACCTGTAGCGTCCCTTTCTGTCCAGCGCCTTAGGCGGTGGCCAAATCGCACCCTATCCTAAGGTCAAAAATGTAAATTTGTTGCTCTAATATTAATTTATTTCCATAATTATTACGACTTAAATTATTTATGAAGTTCGATATATAAAATATTCTGTTTTTCAACTAAAATTAAAACAATCCAGCTAATGAACCCACTACATATAATAAGATACAGTTTATTTGGTTAAAAAATCTTTTTAGAAAAAATACTGTAATTTTTTCATAATACGGCTTATAATAGAATCAAAAAACTAATTAAACTTATTTTAAATCTAATATTGAAATATACAGTCTCAAGACAACAAAAAACAATTCAAAATATTTTAATTTCACTTCATAGTAATTGTAGAAAGTAGTAGCTTGTTCTTTTTAGTAAAACTACTAACTAGTAGTGAAACTACTGGCTAGTATAATATTGTATTATTACTAGTACGCTAAGTTCGCTCACATAACAATATTCAAATTCAGTTTGCTGAAGTAAATTTGCATAACTGTTAATACAAACCGTGTTCACTTGAAGATGTGGATGGGACGTTGAATAACTTCGGATTATATTCAATTTGCAATGCAATCACGAACACTTCGCTGTTAAACTAAACTAATATATTGAAGTTTAACAGCTGTGTTTAATATTTACAATTGGTTTTATCAGTTAGATTTCAATCAACATGATAGGTGTAATTTTATCTTGGATTCTGTTTGTAATATCGTTAATGATGTTATTCCGCAGAGCAACCTACATCCATCGTTCCGATCGCAATGTACCGCAATTGTTAATTTTCAAAATCAACTTTGATTTGAATCAAGATAAATGATAAGCGGTACTTAACTATTACCAGACTTAATCTGTTTGATTTTGTAATTAATGTTATTCCATATATATTAAAGTACAGATAAATACGTAATTGTTTGTATAAAGAATAGAAGAATAGTTCCATCACAATGTGACATGCTTTTATAAAAGCTTGTTTTTAAAAGGCATTTTCTCTTATTTCTTACATACGATACGATTCAAACGTGGCCAAACTCGATGAAGTTATGTCTTTTCCAAACTCCTATGACTACCTTCCAGCTCCATCACCAGAACAACGCCATGGCATCACAATAATACCCGCGAAGTGCACAAAAATCTTTTAGCCAAATCAGTAACCGGGAGGTTCATCATATTTGCATGACTTTATAAAATTGGGACAGGTGAAACTAATTAAAATAATTTAATGCTGCGATAGGGATAGAGAGAAAGCAACCTTTAACAGAGAGAAATAAGTCTGTTATAAATTCTAATATCAGTTTTAATAATAAAAGAAAATCTAGTTAGGTAGGTCAATAGCTGGTTATTACAACAATCAACAACACAGTTTAACAGCGATAAATTATATCGTTGGCTTGGTAGATGCGCTTTAAACTTTAAAACAACAAACTGCAAAACCTGACTCGGAGAAAAACGTTTAAACTTTGTCTGTAGCTCGGTCGGTCTTTAGTTAATAAATGGCTTACAATAATAAAGTAAAAGCGAGGATAGTTCAACATGATCATTTAATTATAAAATTTTTACTATCAAAAATAAATTGATATGGAAAAAATGTTAAAAATCGACATTTAGGATACTTTAGATACTTTTAATTTAAAAAGTCTTGTGAAATATTTTAAACAATGGACATTGAACATACGATATTTGCAACACTAATTTAGGGTAAGCTCCGACCTCCACAGTATCGATGATGATATTTACAAAAAAAACGTCGGACAATAGCTTCTTTTATACCAATTATACTCTTTTTTTCGCTATAAAGAAAACACTATTTTTATAATAGAAAAATCCTTGTGGACGTTTTAAGAATACCCTAAATTTTATAACAATTTAATCAATAGTCTTCCAACGCATAAAGTAAAAATAGGAAGGAAATAGTTATTTATGTTCTATCCGCAGAGCTTAGTAGTTGTGTGAACGTTCGCATTATACGTCTAACAATAAGAGCGCAATACCGCATTGTGCGACTCTACAGAGAAATAATAATTAATTGTGCTCTGCCAAGTTGCCTTCAGGCGTCGCTTCGCGTTATGAACTTTCAATTGTTTGTGAAATAATTTTCCAACTGCGTTTGCCGTTGATGTTTCGATGTCATGTTTTTTTTGATGGGTTTAAAACCAAATACGCTCTAAATTGTTTCATTTTATAAACTAGCTTTTGCGTGCGACTTCGTCCGCGTGGTATTAGGAAACATACGAACTATGTTACAACAAAAAACTAAGTATCCCGTGGGAACCGGACATTTTTCGAAGATGAACCTTATCGCATGTGCACTACAGACTTTGTTTTATATCTGTGACAAATTTCAATAAGGTATATTGAACAGTAGCAGAGTTATCGAGTAAACATTAAAAAACAAAATTAATGCATCCCACCGGAACCGTAACTATTTCCGGGATAAAAAGTACCCTATGTGTTCTTCCAGACTACACTCTAGATATTTGCCGAATTTCGTGCAGATCCGTTTAGCCGTTTACGCTACAAACACTAACTGTTTGAGATGTTGCGTTGAATAAATTAAACTTCTTTGCGTATAACACGTTTATTTCGGCCACTTTACAATGATAGGTGAAGGGACGAGAGTGTCGACAGCGGGTGAAGAACGGAAGCGAAAGAGGTAGAAGAACACGCGTCATCGTCTTATATACCCCGTCATCGATGCTAGGATTGGCCTGCCGGTCTAATTTTAATTAGTGATTTAGCGTATGACGTCGACCGACAGACCAATCGTACATCGACGACGGGGTGCAGCAGCGCAGCGGGAGCCACCGGGGGTCGCCGACGTGTGACAGCGGCACAGGTGGGGCGGCTGCTGACGTCACGGCCGCAACACTAACAAATATCCATCCATCTAAACTTTCGCATTTATAACATTAGTATGATAGTATGATTAGACATACCCAATTGTAAATTAATAAGCTAAATAAAGTAGTCTGAAGTATATAAGCTTTTATAACTCTCATTTAAGTGTATCTTTGCAACAAAGCAAAGTCCTGAACTGAATAAAAGATTAGTATTTTTAATGAGTTTAAACGTAAAGTAAACAAATAACATCGTTTCCCTTTTAAATTTCAATTTTTCTTATGAACATTTCCGATCTATTTCGAATAAGAGAAGACAAAACTAATTGACCTTTATTAAACAGCTTCCATTTGTGTCCTAAATCTAATATCGATTTCCACAGAAGCAATTGAACAGCTTTAGTTAGATCTAGGCAATAAGAGCTAAAAGCAAATCCAATCCGACACCGGCTTGCACAATACAGACGGAATACATTAAAGATATATTGCGATCTACGGAACTATAAAATACTTATGCTAATACACATATATATTTATTTGCTTTCCTTATATTCTATAACACATACTTGTATGAACTTCATTTCTCTGAAAAATTAAATTCACTACAAAAAACATGTATAACGTTTCGTATACGGTTTTTTTTAAAGTATTATATCTTTATACATCATTAAAAAAAATAATATTGCAATAGTACAGATAATTATTAATAAATTGTATTTAACTATAGATAATAGATAAATATATAAATCACGTTATCGTACGCTGATGTATTCAAAATAAACTCACAAAACTGAAGTTTCAAAGGCTCAGAGGAAATTTTGCGCGCTGCCAGAAGGGTAACTAAAATTTGCATACATGAAATATACATGAGCAATGTTGGACAGTGGAAAGCGGACAGTCTGTTAACAGTGTTTTGTTAGACCGTGTCAGGGGACGGGAAACTGTAAACTACGTAAAACATCGCACACATCTACGTCGTATTTTTGTCGTTCCGTCACGTTGGAATCTCATAACGTTGTTCGTTTAACGTTCGTTGTTTTGTTTGTTTGTAGTTTCCGGAAAGTCTTTGTTATAACAAAGACTTTTCAAGATACTTTTCTAGCATGTGGATTTTCGAATAGCAACGTCACTTCATAACTGCTCTAACTCTTGTATGGTGTTTGTCATCTTAAAGTCAGACATTCGAGCGGGTGCGTGCGCAGCTCAATTTTTTAGGTAATGTGGAGCATAGCGGTATGGGAGAGAAAACTGCGCAATGCGCAACTCAAGGCCTGACGTCAAAAAGATTGAAATGATCTGTAACAGTTCCAGAAGATTACGAAGAGAACGCACTCTTTTCATAAACGAAAAACATAAAAAAATTGCATTGTGCTAAATAAAATAAGTTATCCATAACAGTTACGCTATAGATAAACTGAATCACAGTGACCTAGAATAGTATACCCAGTTGTTCCATCTGCCATTATTCGTCGAAATAAAAAGTGGATCGACTGCACGAGGTATAAACAAATCTGAATATCGCACAATAACATCGGCATAGAATGATTCTGACGAAACAAAAGCTATTCATCGCAATATGGATTCATATGAACAAAACGCAACATCCGCGACCTAAATGCAGACCGTATTTTTCTATATTATTTTATATCTAGAACAGAATATTATTTAAAATGCTAAACTATACATTTTATTTTAAATAAAACGAGTCCTTTTCGAAATAAAAGAGTCAGTGGCTATCCACAAGCTCAATAAAGTAGTCCATACAATAATATTGCTGTAAATGAAGGATTTTTCAGTGATAACATTTTTCTATAGAAACGGTTCGTTCCGTTTATTAATTTGTCCTTGCAGAGTAATTCAGCGTCTTCCAACTGAAACTATGGACTGGTGTAAAATGTAAAACCAGACATTTGTTCACTTGACCCGAATCGCGGGGCCGGATCGCGATATTGCTGGTTAACGTATGTTATTTTTAGAAGTAGAAACGCTCTAGTGTTAAACATGACTGTTTCATATTCAGTTGCAGTATTTACTTAAAACAAATAAAATACAACTACGTTAAATTAATAACGGTTACAAGGTTGTTGCTGAAGCTGAATTTAATTCAATAATGAAATACAAAAAGACGATTATTGATATAATTTTCCTTAACGCTATTTAATTTTATGAATTGCATTTTCATTACTGCCATTCACGGTAGATAGCGAAAGTGATTCCCTGTCGGTGTCCATCGAGCTTTTATTACATTAAATAGCTTCAAAAGACCCTTGGTTCAACAGGGGCCAGTCACTTGTATTACACACATGCACTCATTTTAAAATACCCGTATGTAGTACTTACTATATATTACTAATAACCACGATGTACTGACAACACTTACCATATGTATGAATGAATAATTGAAGAACATAAAGCTAAATAATGTTGACAAAGTAACAATAATATAAGAAAAGAAAGACTTTATTAAATGCTTACCATTTTGTGAAGTTCTCTGCAAAATTTTTTGAATTTCGCCAGCCTCCGAACCGCTTTCAGACTCCGAGTATACAGAATGATTTCCTCGTGTTAAGTACGCAGTGTTTTTGTTTACGATTTTGTTTATTTTTCCGACACTGTCTACACTAGTTGTCCGAACTGGAGGTTTAGGTGGAGTTCCATAGTCCTGAGATCCCGAACTATTTATTTTACTCGTGAACAAAGCGTTCCGGGCACTCAATATTTTGTAACTGTCATTCGATAACTTCACATCTAACGCAACACTTTTTGGAACTTCACTATTGTTTGGTAGAGAAGTTTTAGCGTACTGCTCCTCGAAGCTCACTCGTTTTGGTTGATAAATGTTGTGTCTTCCGTCCGGCGTTAAAGAACCGCGTTGAAAAATCGGCATTTGTCTGTTAACTACTGGTGACGTAGTTCTTGAACTAGATTTACGCATTTGTCTATACACGATGTCTGCATCTGCGTCGGCTGTGCGATTTCGTATGAATGAATCAGTCCGCCGCTCTGGAGCGCCTCTCGCAAAAGGTGGAAGTGCGTAAATTGGTTGGGCCATGTTGTAATTCAAGTCCCGCCCTCGCGGTAAACTGTAACTTTTTGGTTCAATTACAAAGGAACTCGGTGTACTACAATTGGAACTAGAGTATACCGTGTTAAATTTTTGTGGTGAAATATGGATGTTATCCAAAGATTGCTTTAATAAATGATCGTCTTCTTTTTCTTTCAATTCTTTGAGTTTCTGCCAATAAAAGGCCTCAATTTTCTGACGCGTCTTTTCTTTATCGTTGTCTCCGTTGCTACTTCTAGGCGTAGGAGGTTTAGTTATGTCAAGGTATTGGGGTCTAGGTGAAGGTGTTGATTTGTTACCAATGCTTGACCTACTTATTGAATTTCGTTTTTCTTCTGTTTCTATCATCGTTTTTCTTACGTGTCCATAAGGAGACACTGTTTTCGGAATATTGGGTCTTTTTGGATTTACAGCAACTGGTGAAGTGGGTGCAGAATAATTATAAGGTTTCTTAACATAATCGTGGTTTTGTGCAGAGTCTTCACTTTGTTTCGAAGTATTCCGAGGATTGTTTTTGTCTAAAGAAAGACTTCGAGCTCTGGTCGGTTGAATAGTTCGTACTTCAGCTTCTTTTTTTGGTGAAATGAGGAATTTCGTGCTTACTCTTTTAATCTCCGCACCGACCGATGCTGGATTCGCTTGAGCTTGGGACGCTTTGTAAATTTCAATTTCATCAAGTGGAGTTATCTTGTCTATTAGTTTTTCTAAGGAATGGTAGTATACATCTGGATATTGACTATTATTAAAGTCATTTACCTTTTGAGGTCTCGGTGATGTTGATTGCATTATTTCACCTTGGGGTTTCGGCGGCACTTGCGGTCTTGCCATATAAGTGGTATAGAAGTTTCCATTTTTTGGTATGTCTGCGAAATCTGTTGGATGTTTTATATTATCTGAAACTAATGTACTACTGGAAGAATTATTGCTCGAAAGGTCCACAATGCGATCGTTTTCCAATCTATGGGTCGCTGCCAAGTTTTCATAAATCCGTTCTTGAGAGGTGTCTGACTCTTGAATAAATGATTTTTTATCTACTAAGGTTCGAGGGTTTTGGTACTGATTTTTGTTTGCATTAATTTCTGCTACGTTTTTATGACTGGCTCCATATTCTTTACTGCTATTCTTGTCCTTAGAACGATGAGTGAAGAATAGATTTGGAAATATTTTACGGAAACTATTTGATCTTTTTTTACTATTCTCAGTCATTTTACTAGTTAAAGTTGAAATCGGTATTCATGAACATCTGAAACAAAAGGGTAGAATAAAGGTTATATCTCATAGCTTTTACGTAAATTAAGTATTAATTTGTCGTTGTCTTATTCCGAAGGTCCAGATGCATTAACCTTCAGATCAATGTGCATTCTCATAGTAAGTATATAACTTGAACATTGTACATATAACGTTACAGTCACATACAAAGTACATCACGTCGCTAACATGAAGCAGTTTTGAAGAATAGGGTCAAGTTACAGTCCGTCAAGGTCCAGATACGAGGTTGTCTGACAGCAATGCCAACTATTTTCATTATTATATTCAAATTCTAATATTTAAATGTAAAGCTTAGTTAATTGACAAGCCTTTTCTATACAATTTGATATTGCTACAATTTTGCTTAACACGTTTAGTTCCACCACAGATTAAACAATACTAACTATATGAAATTCACCGTCCTCCGAGTTTATCTTCTAAAAGAGAACATTAAAAGTGTTAACAATTATTTTGTTTCGTTGTTGTCTGGTGTTACATCTTACTAATTTGACTACTTTTTTTAAATCCAAAAGTTGAAAGTTGGGTTGTCGTTTTTAGTTCAACGCGAACGTAGTCACGGGCGAAAGCTAGTTTATATATATTTAATTTCTTAACTAAAATTAATATTCGGGTTACGTGTATATATTTATATAGTTATGAGATTTGTTTACATATTTTACTACGCTTCTTTATGAAATTAGTAAATTTTACTTTTATAAATTCAAGAGTACACTTCTAAATTTTGTTAAATTATTTACGTTAGCCTTTTAACGTCCAGATGAAGCTGCTAACAAACTGTAAACATTGTTTGCTATGTACGAAATACGAAATTATAAAGCAGTAACTAATTATTAAATTCTGTATTTATCTGTAAACGACTGAATGCTAAATTGGCATTAATTGTTTATATGTAAAAACGTCTCTTTTATTATTGAGTATATTATTATGTCCAAAGGAGTGTGTTGGATTATTATTTATCATTAAAGCAGACAAACGCATTGATGAAAATCGTATATGTACTGAATTTTATTTTGCTTTATTTAATAACTAGCTATCGCTCGCAACTCCACGTGGAATAAAAAAAAAGTGAGTACCCTTGTGTTCTTCCAGACTATCCTCTGTACCAAATTTCACCGAAATCCGTTCAGCCGTTTGGGCCACAAACTGTACCAAACATCCATCCTTCCATCTAAACTTTCGCATTTACATATAATATTAGTTAGATTTAATTCTATATTTCTTCTAAATACATAATAATGTTAGCGGATCAGTAACTAGTAGTGTAACTTTTGAAATAAATTAAACGTTTTTTTTTAAATATTCAACACCAGATGTTTGTAAATTTCGATAAGATAGCCTGAAAATAGCCATAGGTGCGGCAAATGTAGATTACACATCAAGTACTTATCTAGGTACTGACAAAACTCATTGATAATATTGGTACTTATGTAATTTTGATGTACATAAGAAATCGTATGTTCAGAATAGTCTTATTTCTATCTTACTAATATTATACATGCGAAAATTTTAATGGATTGGTGAATGTTTGTTAGAGTTTGTAGACTAAACGACTGCACTGATCTGGATGAAATTTGTCATAGCTGTAGAGCATGTATTGGAAGAACACATACTTTTTTATTTAATAAATCCAATATATTAAGATACGTTATTGCCATTTCAAATAATTTTGATTCCCACATTTCATCTCCGTAAAAAACTCCTTGGTTATTTACCAAAGATATTTCACCGGGGTTTACTTTGGCTAAACTCCAGTTGCGCAGTTAACTTTTTTCACCACAACCACAACGACGGGATTCGAGAGAGTTTCAACTTGGCTTTATATTAGTAACTTTTTATTATACTGCCAAATTCAGATGGCTTATTTGCTGGTCGCATGGACTGACCTAGAATTGCAGTCTACATACCGATAGGATTACGGCCAAATGGCTCGAGTTCAACTTCATGATTTAGTTAGTTGTGTAATTTTTTTAGAGGAATTTAAACGAAACACTAGTGAATACTGGACATATTTGCAATATTTACATTAGGAAATGTTAACAACATTTAGTTTTCAATCTATAAATAATCTAGTTCAAATTCTTTTACTTCTTATATATATATCTTCTGCCGCTAGAGTTGGCACGTCGGTAGTGGAGTAGTCTTATACTCGCTGTGCCAACTTAAATACTGGCTCATATTACGTTATGTACTTACTGTATTATGTTTTGTAAATCAACAAGTGGAATTATTGCAGTTATAAGAAACCTATATAATAGCTTGTCGTTAATTATAAATAACTACCTAAATTGACTCTACTATGCCTACAATATAAGTAATGGCATTGTATTATATTATTCATGGCAATAGTTATGGTTTACTATGTAAATATTCAAAGCAAATGAATATTTTATTATCTTATACTCGAGTTTTATGCGGTCGCTCTATCGTCTCATTGGCATAAATACATGTTGTGCTAGTTTTTTCGCAAGGAGACAGAAAAACATATTTTTATGAATATTTTGGATATGCAATATAACAGTAGAGTAATAATATTATTTTTATACAAATTATACTTAGTACTATGCTATACCGAGCATTCGTAAATGTTTCCAACTGGAAACTTATTAATTAATAACATTTCGATCTTTGTATCATCTTTAAATTGGGTCAAAGTACTTAAAAACATCTTAACTTCAATATGTTTATAAACTAAATACAAAAGCGGGAAAATATTAGCGAGCGATATTAGGGCGTTTCCGGTTTAAGTGATAAGTTTGTTGCATGTAAACAAACCTTACTTAGAACTAATAAGAAATGAGTAAGATGAAAAAAAATCAAACTGGCTGAAGTAAATAAATACTTAATTAATTAAAAAACAAAAGAAAAACATTGAACTAAATCAACACTTACCGACTATGAGTCATAACAAAACTTTGAAATAGTCTCTTCGCTTGAATTTACCGCATATTCTTATCAGTTTACATTAAATCTAACCTTTCTAAAGTCTTCAAATGGTTATTATTTAATTATATCACTCAATAAACCTATGGTGTATGAATATGACGTCATTACAAAACCTATAAAAAGTTTCATGGTCAAATTAAAATATTCTACGATATTACGCTCACGTCGTAGAACTAAGTTAAAACTTCAAAACAATACACTAAGTAACACTTTTCTTAAACGTATGATCAGTGAATTATAACTTATTTTAAGTTCAAGTTTTAGTATATCCACATCCAAATAATATCTTACAACGGAACTTAAGTGTCAGACTAAAGTTATACAAAACAATATAAAATAACCTTTTAAGTGCATATCTACGTTATAGGTCTAACATTGTTTGTTAGATTTGAAGGCTTTATCTTCTCAAACTAAAGTATAGTCTGTGCCAACGTGATACAGTCGGTTTTTGTTTCAAAACAAGTTTCAACACTTGTTTTGCGTTCCATTTCACACCACAGTATTGTCTGAAATTGAAACTATGTTGAACCATAATAATGGTTTTAAATGACTTACTAAACAATTTCTCTTTGTAACCCAACATTTAGGTTAAGTACGTAGACTTTGATGAGATTAAAAACGACAAAAATTATGAAAATATCCCTTAAGTTATTCTGTCAATACTTAAAACTATGGCATTCGACTCCATTGATACCTTTTGTCCTCTTTTTTTGAAGCGAAATGAGAGATGGCATTACGCGTTATGACTGCCGTAGAAACCCACTATAAATAAGTAACTTATTACAATATAAAAGAAACTCACTAGTTTCCTTGAGTCAGTTGCTTAATTGACTAGAAAATTATAAAGTAAGTGAAAATAACGTGGAAACCCAAAATCAAACATTTAACTGAAGCGAACAATATCAAATAAAAATACGACCAAACATAAAAAGGTGATGATGATTGATGATGAATTCGGAACTCTGTATCTTGTGCATCTAATACTATTATAATAATACTGTCTGTTTTTTATTTACGTAGGTGGTATAATTTGTACACATTTTCAATCGTTCAAAAGTTCTTTCGTGTTACATTAACGATATCATCAAGGTAGGTAAGGTTTTATTAAAAATTGTTTAACCTTATAGTAAAATAAACTGAAATGTTTATATTCAAAATATGATGTTTTCTAACTTTAATCAATCGCGTAATATGCTTTTTAAATATTTTTGAAGATTTGATAGTTTCGATCACTCCAAATCTTCGCTGCCCAAATTATATAAAAAAAACAAAAAGGAGTGTACTTCATTTTTATAATTTTTTAACACAATTACGTTTCCTAAACATTTTATTTAATATTTTGAATTTTTTTTGTTAAACGTAAAAGATATTTAATCTGTAAACTCATTTTCAATTTGACAGATGTGAGAAGTTAACAAGCCTGTCTGTTAACAGGTCTTTAATTTTTGACGTTTTGTTGTCGTCGTTTCGTTTCGTCTCTTTCACCTTCGTATATTATACACAAACACGTGTACTGTTTCGCGGATATTTTATTTTACGGATACGTGTTGTTCTTGCATTTGCTCCTGTACTCTAGGAATTCCAAAATAAAACTACTTGTCTTACGTGTCCATTGAACCAGTAGTACTCCAGTATACAAACGTGTCACGTTTCGATTGTTACTATAGAAAGTTAAGAAGATTTACATGATGAAAACGAGAAGTGAAATTAGATTTATCTTTTATGCGGGTGCAATATTTATATGTTATTTTATTTTTGCTATGTTACAAGAAAAAATAACCAGGGGCAAATATGGAGATAATGACAAGTTCACTTGCGCGTTGTCCCTGGTATTGATCCAATGTTTCGTAAATTACTTGTTTGCCCAAATATTGATGGTAAGTTATACCTTATACCATTATTAAAATATCAACAATACTGACTTATAATGAGTATATTAAGGGAAGTTTGAGAGTAGCCCCAGTGATTGAGAAAATAAGGAGTAAAATTTTACCGTGATACTTATGGGCATGTTATGAGAAGGGATGAATCGCATGTAACAAGAAGGACGTTAGTTATGAATGTGCAGGTATACCGGTAGAGGTAGACCTAGAAAGAGATGGATGGATTGTGTGAAAGGTGACATGATCAAGAAGGAGGTGATAACTGAGATGACGGATAATAGAGTTATTTAGAGGTTGGAAATCCGGTGCGCCAACCCTACGGCAGTAGGATAAGACAGGGGAGATGATTGAACAAACCTGACCTATACATATAACTTCTTTTCATACATTTCTCAATGGCGGATCTAGGAGGGTTTTGGGGGTCATGATCCCCCCCTCTGAGCTGGTTGGCCAAGAGCTTGACAAAATATATTTACATATTTTGTCAAGCTCTTGACTTGACCACAACTATTTGACCCCCTTTGGTGGCAAAGCTGGGTCCGCCCTTGACATTTCTCCATTGTTTCAAATTATTTACCAGTTAAAATAGTATCACATACATCCAACTTTGTATTTTATTACTTGTAATTGAATAGTAGTTAAAAAATGTGCATTGAATCACTTTACCTCGAACAAGTGACCAAATATTTATAGCTGGCACCCAGTTGTATAAAATGATATGAAAAGTAATTACTGTCACCATCTGTACAATTAGTTAATTTTTTTTCTTATTTCAGGTATCCTGGACACATGAGAAAGATACAACAAGAACCGTTTATTATTTTTCATCAGCATTAACATATCTATTGGCTATGCTGTGTTCAGTGATGGCCCTACAGTGGGTAAATTATCCAACACAGGTAAGTTATTGTCATTTAAAAAAATTTAAAGTTGTTTTGTTAGGCAAACAGTTCTTTAAACACTATCTCGCCCGTGACTCTGTCCACATGGAGTATTAAATGCCAGACAATTAAAGACAATGTTCTTTATCTGTACCAAATTTCAGCATATCACATCTAACCGTCTACACTTTTGCTTTATGATATTAGTAAGATCAATAGTCTGATTTTAATATCTTAAATCCGAAGCCACACTCCTTTGCTGCCTAAAAAACTTAATGATAGAATGAGATACAAGTATGCCTCCAGTCTTATAGTAAAACTATTTTATTGTTTACAGGTTGTGGGGAAAGCTGCAAAACCAATACCGGTGATGATTCTTGGTGTTTTAATTGGACGCAAATCATACCCACTGAAGAAATACCTTTTTGTTCTCTTGATTGTGATTGGTGTTGCACTCTTCATGTATAAAGATCAAGGCAAAAAGACTTCCGATGACTCCGGCATGGGAATTGGAGAACTCCTGCTACTTGTATCGTTAACCATGGATGGCTTGACTGGTGCTGTACAGGTATGGTTTAAAGAATTAATCATATGTAATATAATATAATTGCTGTTAGACTTAACTTAGCGAATTTAAATTTATATCTGCAAATTGGATTAATAATTCAAATTGAGTTGCTGTGTAATATTTTGAGCGAACATTACTGCTATAAATGATGGAATACAATTGATGTGCTGTGCTTGTATGCTGTAAACATATAAATAAATTATACAATTCTTACTGTGTTGTGTGTAATGCAAACTTAGAATATTTGCACAAACATTGTATGTTATCAAATGACTTCATGAACTTTGCAGGTCTAGCTCTGCTTCTAATCAAAACATAAATTTCAATTGTTTATTATCTTGGTGCTTAACTAACTGTGGGTAGTGATTGTTGAAAAACTTGTATATATTCATACCTGTTATCCTCTTTTTAAAAAGAGATAATGAAAAATAACAAAAATTACATGTTCATTTAGCTTGCATATCTTATGATGGTATTTTGCATACTTTTTTTCTTGTCTATTTTTAAATGTATGACGAATTATTTAAAGTATTTATTTCTATTACTTCCAGGAACGTATTAAGAGTGAATCATCTCCTACCGCATATTCAATGATGCTGAACACGAATTGGTGGTAAGTTAAAGACTATGCATAAAATAATTGTCACAAATATGTGCTATAAATATCTATAAACTAGCTTTCGCCCGCGACTCCACCTGCGTGGAATAAAAAAAAACATAAGTGAGTAACCTTTGCGTTCTTCCAGATAATCTTTAACATCTATGTCAAATTTCATCTATATCCATTCAGCTGTTTAGGCTACCAACTCCAACTAACGTTGATCCATCTAAACTTTCACATTTATATTATGATAATTCATGAATTTTACTAAATTATAATAATAATTTTTTTCAGGTCAACTATTATTTCGGCGATCGGCGTGCTATTAAGTGGTGAAATATTCAAATTCGTCGCATTTGTGACACAATATCCCGAGATCTTGGTCTATTTGATTAGTTTTGCACTGATGGGGGCTCTGGGACAACTGTTCATATTTTTCATGGTAAGTCTATTTTTAAAATATGTACCTTTTTAACATAAAGATATATTCGAACAAAGCTATCAATTTAAATTAAGAATAACATCATGTTGGAGGTTTTTTATTTTAATAATGTAAGGTGTGTATTATTCAAGTGGTCGCTGATTTACAAAATGCTGAACTAACTGCTGCACAGAAATCCTCATTTGCAGATATCTTGCTTAATAGCGGAGGATGCAATAAAAGAGGATAGTTCCCAATCTACTCCTTTTGAAGTCACTTCCCTTTTCAATCATTACCCTGTACGAATAATGACAGTAGACTGAAATTATTCCTCTAGCATGCACACTATTATATGACTATGTTTACTATATGAAGGACTTGCTACATATTTATTTATATTGAATTTAATTTATAGGCATTTAGTGTATAAAATGTTGCTTTAAAACTTCTCCCGAAGTCAAACAATCCTAAACAGGGCTTAATAATAGTAATTATAATTACTAAACACATTTTAATGATTTCAGGTAGCAGAGTTTGGACCACTACCATGCTCGGTGGTGACAACAACAAGGAAATTCTTCACCGTCTTGGCTTCGGTGGTCATCTTTGGGAATGTTCTACTCGGCCGTCAATGGATTGGTGCTGTACTAGTTTTCACTGGTTAGTATTTCTGTATTATTATGCAGAATTAAAGAAATATTAGTTGTATTCCCAATAGGTCAGTAATATCTGTCTATATTGAACAAGTATCTTGTGTTAGTTTTTAAAGTATTTTTTCTCATGTAATTTTTAATGCCATGTTGTATGTATGAAGGTTTCACATATTTTCTGACAAAATTAATAGATAACAGTGCTTAACGCACAGGGATAGTCATCCTTGTTGGAATACATATAGTACAACTGAGATATCTGGTCCGGTGATAGAGCGGTTGTGACCGCGGTTATTCTGTCAGAAAATATGCAAATAGATTATATGCGTAGATATATGTAGTAAATAACACAGAAAAAACATGAATAGACTGATATAGTACGAAAACAATTTAGTGTCAATATTTTAATATTGACAGGAGACAGTGACCTGTCAAAAACAGTGGTAGAGCCCGCTTTAGCATCTTCGCACGAATAGGCCGGCTCGCCCGGTGTAATACCACGACCACACAGAAAACAGGCGTGAAGTGGGAGCGATTCCGCGTTTCGTCTGATGAGTGTGGTGTCGGAGGCCTAATTTTAGTCACTTTCCCTTTCCACCCTTTTCTTAAGAGAAAAAGGAAGGGAAGGAAAAGTGGATTTGACGGTGGAGGAGACGCATAGGAAGGGGAAATGTCCCCTTTATGTGCGTCTCCTCCTCCGTCAATCAAGGGTTGGCAGCGCATCTGCAATTGCGGATGTCTATGTGCAGCGGTCGCTTTCCATTTCGGTGGATTCAGGTGGCCGCTTTCTCGTTTGCCACCTTGTATTATAAAAAAAACTTGGTCAGATAAATTTGTCAGTCTTTATACGGGGATAAGGATTTTTTTAATCTTTCTTGACATAGAGGCTACAAAATTGAGATTCAAAATGGCAACTTTTGTTGTCTTGTATATTTGATCAAATCTGAGTTTTTATATTTAATTTTATGATTGTACGGTATAGTGTATTAACATTTTTTCAAAACTATTTTCAGGGCTATTCCTAGACATCATATACAGCAAGGGAAAAAGTCAACCGTCAAAAAGGATCTCAGATAAATAAGTTTTTCCAAGATATTAATAAAATAATCACTATTTAGTAAATGTAATTGGCATATTTAAGATGTACTTGTAGATTATCAATAAAAAAGCGAGGTAATATTGAATATAAAATTTTCGATATTTCCTTTTCTTATCAAATAAATATCAGTAAGGTAGTTAATATAAGTAAATAAATATTTATTCAATTAGTGTATTTCGTTTTCTTTAGGAATTATTTTTATTTACCAAATTAACTTTTTTTTTGTAAGGAAGGACTGAATACAAATTATCAAACACATTCACAGCCAAATATTGTTACCGTGAAAAAACTACATAATTAAGTTAAAAGTGTTGTTACCATTTCAAATATGACAGACTGATAGTTTTGATTTTTATATACTAACGTCTGTTGATCCATTTAATTATAGATTTGTCATTCAAAGTTAGGTTTATGTCTATTTTAATGGCTATTAAAAAATTGTATTTTTAAGTTATCGTTAAGGTATGATAATGAAATGCATGAATTAAAAAATAAATTATATGATTTTTTTATACAAAAAGACCTGTCATCAGAATTAAAGATGTACAGCTAACTTTAGATTAATCTATCAACTTCAAGTTATACTTACGAATAAATTAGTTTGAATAAATACAGAAGTTTATTTGAATTCAAGAGGAAGAGTTGAATTTAAAGAGCATCGGTGGCTCAGTGGTTTAAACACTTGACTTGTAATCTACCCTGTACCAATGTGATTTTCGATTTTTCGAATTTTCATATGTACATAATTTACCCGACGTTCTTACGGTGAAGGAAAACATCGTGATGCAACCTGCACATATCGGCGAAGAAATTCAAAGATATGTGTGAAGTCAACCAACCCGCAGTGGGCCAGCGTGGTTGACTATGGCCTAGTCACCCTAACTTTAGGGTAGGCTCCGAGCCCCTCGGTGGGGACGTATAGTGAGCTGGTGATGATGTGAATTCAATGGAAAACATATATTTACATATGTCACAGACAATGTAATTTGTGTATGGATTTAATTGGAAACCTTTATTGTTTAAAATTTTAAATTGATAATAAATCTGTGTTTTAAAGATTACAGTCTTAAAAAAAGTAAAATTATTTAAACATGACTGTTATAAATTCTTATTTTAATTGAATTTGTTAAATAATGTTTGTAAAACAAATTGAATTTCACTTGAAACACTGTTTTTTGCAAGTCATGATTTTTTTTTGCATATTTAGGTAAATGTAATGTCATAATATTTTTTTAAATTTTTATTATACCGTGAGACATTTTTATACAACTGTTTTGTGATTTTGGATTTCGTATTTTAATTGTACATATTATTGTAAACATTTTAACTGAAATTATTTCTAGGATTTAAATTCTTAAAATATTTTACTACTGTTTGTGCTATGGTATAGTTTATATTAGATTTTAACAAGCGCATATGTTTATCATCAAATCCATACGATGTTTTTTTAATATTATAATTTGCTTAAAACGATTCCATTATTTTGTGTGTAAATATTCCATCAAGTGTGGTATTTACTATTATGTATTGATGTATAGTGCCGCTAACAGTTCTGACCGGGTGAAGTGCCGTCCACTTAGACAAAGTAACATTCGATTTTCGCCATCGCTGATCGAAAAGTCAAAAATGTATGGAACTAACAACATTTGATAAGTCACGTGCTTGTCACGTATTCGTTTCTATGCATTTTGACACATTTTGTCTTATCTATGTAGTATCCACAAGCGACATCGCTAATCTAAAGTTACTTTGTCTAGGGGGATTGTTATTGTTGTAAATTCGGTCAGAAAACGTAAAAATGGTTACATTTATAACCATACAAGATGGTATAAAAAGAGGGCGCTAGTGAACTATCGTAATTTATATTTACCTGGTCAGAATCAGTCGGTGTACTTTTATATAAATGTAAATATTGAATAAAAAGGCTTACTAAACAAATCTTAAGGTATAACTTCGTGATTTATCGCCGTATAATTGGCGTCAACTACTTTATAAAGATATGAACGTAGTTAAAATGTATTTAAACTTTGATGATTTTGTGAAATTTTTATTTTTAATTAAAGATATTTATATTAAAAAAAAAAACATTAATTTTTTTTAAACGCTCGATACTCATTCCAATGTTACATGTTTCAATGTAAGTGTAGAATACAATTTTTTATTCAATAATTGTTATTTTCTTTAATTTCCTATTTTTGACCGACTTCCCAAAAGAAGGAGGTATTCAATTCGACGGTATATTTTTTTTTTTTTTT